TTTCAGAAATCGCGTTCAACACGTGGAGGCCATCATCGCAACTACACGTCTTTAGCCGACAAGCGCAAAGTTCGGCGACGCTTTATCTGCTTTTCAGAAAACGCGTGCAGCTTTATCGAAGAGGCGTCTTCAAAGATCGAAGAGTCGTCACTATTCCAAAAAGCCGGATTTGCGGGATCAAAATGTTTGTCGACAACGGAAAAAGAACAGTATCACCACTTGCTATTGAATTCCCTATATATGTCGACCTTCATTTTTTTTGGCAAGACAGAACTGAAGAAAATGCCCAACTCTTTTTCACCTCTGAGGGCGCACTCCCAGCAAAGCCTTTCGAAATACTCCATTCTTTCTTCTTCCCCAAAGATGTTACCAGATGCCTGGAGTACAGATGACCCAGGAGGAAACAGCACCACAAATACATGTGCTGATTCATTCACCGCTTCTTCAAAAGCAAAGGTATCTCATATCATCAAGGGCAAAAGCAAAGGTATCTCATATCATGCTCTTTCCCTGTCTTTTCCTTTGTCCTTGATATTACTTGCATGGCAAAGTGAAAGAAGCAATCAGCCGGCACTTGGAGTCTATCTGGACTCTATTCCCTGGTTGCTTACCTAGCTTTGCTGAGCTATCCTCTAACCCTCTTCAATACGAATTGGAGAGATTGAACAAAGAAACAGATAAAAGGAGGAAGCTCAGACCTTCGGGGGAGACCAAAGGAAGCCTACTACCCAGTTCAAGAGTAGCACAAAGGAAAATCAACGATGGGAGTAGCGCAGTTTAAGAGTAAGCCTGTAGAATCACTCAAGATGAAGCCTCACTGCAATCACCAAGGAGAAGATGGAATTTACACTCCATAACCAGATTTGCATCTCTAAAACTCTTCTCTTTGTTAGATACATTCTGCCATGTTTAGTATGTTTAGTTGCTGTTTTAAATGTTTTCTTTTGTTTGGTGTGTTTTAAGCTTAAAACATTGAGGACAATGTTTGATTTAAGTGTGGGGGGGTAACTAAGTATGTTGATGCAAATTTGTTGGATTTTATCACCCATAACTTCAAGTGTTGTTCCTTGCTGTTTTAAAATGTTTTTAAACTGTTTTAGTGTGTTTTGACTTAAAAATTCGAAAATCCCATAAAAATTTGAAAAATTGTTTTGAAAAACCCAAAAAGAGTTGTTTTAAAGTTGTTTTTGTGTGTTTGTGTCGTAGGGTACCTTCCAACGCAATGATGAGGATTTGGTTTTTAATTGCATGATGGTTAAAGAAAGTTACAAACATGGAAGGACGTTTGATATACTCTTTGGTTTATGCTTGGTTGTCGTTATAGTTTACGAATTCACATGTAATCACAAATGATAAAAATTAGTTTTTGTAACATGCTTGAAGGAATGAACTTAAACAAACGCTACATCCCTGTGAGACTTGAGCTGAAACGTTATTTGGAGAGTTAACATCTGTGCATTAATGTTTTCTAAAGTCGTTGCATGATTTCATTATTCTTTGCTTGGTTACTACTTAGAAGGCGTTTCATCACTTAGTTCCAAATGCTAGAACTCATGCCCATTTCATTCAAAGCATGTCATTGATTTGCATAACACATATTCAAGATGAAGTTGTGTAGTGAACACCATAGCCAAATTGCCATATTTGCCTTTTCATTTGTTTTGTAGGATTTAACCCCGTTGAGTCTTGTGTAGCCTATGTTATTTGTTAACCCACATTCTCCTCGCCTAGCCTAGATTAGGACCATCCGTACCCTTGTTCTTGAAGCATAGTAAGCATGAATGAATTCCCTTTGATTAATGTGTTGCAGGAAATAAGTGTGGGGGAAGGATTATGGATGTGAGTTTTTGTGCCATAGGCACGGTTAAAAAAAAAAAAAAAAAAAAAAAAAAAAAAAAAAAAAAAGAAAAGAAAAAATGAAAAAGAGTTCCAAAGTATTGTTGAAGTAAGGGCCCAAAACAATGAATTAGGCCCTAAGAGTTGTTTGAATCTTCCCCATTTGTCTAAAAGTTGATTTCTGCATTCTAAGGGAATTCTAGGACTTAATTTCAATACTTTGCTTGCTATTGCTTAAAGAACTTTTTGTTTATCCCTACCTTTCGTTGTTAGCCAATACCCCAGGCCCCGTTACAACCCTTGACTTCTATCTTGAGTGTTGTGCATTTCAATTGTGGAGTTTGAATTTGGTATGAGCATATGGTGTCACTGGTTCTCGCATCTAAGTAGTAGCATTCCATTCATGAGATCATATCTAAACACGTTTAATTACTCCAGAAATTGTGATTCTTTGTTATAACATATGTGAGTACTAGTCTTTCATGTTTATATCAATCTTCTCACATATAACTAGTGTAGGGTGTGTAGTCAGAAAATCTGAGTGAAAATTGAGTGCATAACTAGTAAGGAATTGAGGGAGTTCTCTAAGGCATGTTACTACATTCAAAATATGTTTTAATTGATTAAATGCGAATTAGTGAATGGTGACTATGATTAAGTATGTGCTTAAGGGGAAGTAAGACTAAAAGCTATGTGAGTAATGATTTTTGACATGTCATGTTTCATTGGAAATCCCTGAGGCAAACGTTGGAAGGTTTAGGTTATGTTTTCTTTGTTTTGTTTCGTTTTGTTTACTTTAGTTGTTTTGTTTTGCTCGAGGACTAGCAAAAGTTAAGTGTGGGGGAATTTGATAGGAGCATATTTATGCGCCTTAGTTAGCTAGTTCTTATGCATTTTTGTTATGTTTTCTTCGTTAAAGTAGTCTTTTAAGCTACTTTCATGTGTTTTCAGGTTTAAAGGACATATTACATGAAATGATGCAATTTGGAGCTTTTGGAGCAAAACTGAGCTGGAATGTGGTGTATGCAAATGGAGCACGAGGAATGGACGTGGTTGAAGGTCAAAGGAGTTCAAGAAATGAAGAAATGAAAGTGAAGAGCAAAGAAGTCGGAATTGGCAACCAAAGTTTCTAAAGTTGGAAGTTTCTATTCTTGGAGGTTTCCATTGTCGTGAGTTTCTATTCTTGGCTTTGGGCTTTTAGATGACTTAAACCCTAACTCCTTGTGGACCCTAAGCCTATGCCGCACCTAAACCCTAATCTTAGCCCACTTAATCAGCCGCACCTTTTTCATAAACCCAAAACTAAACCCTAAGCCGTGGCCCCCCCATTTGATTATGCACCCTAATTCCTCTCCAAAACCGTGCAGCCACCATCACAGATTATTCCCCATTAATTCCCTCAATTTCCCATCAATCCGTGCATTTTATTCACACCCTAATTCCTCCTTATTAACCCTAACACTAATCAACCACCATCCCATTTTTAATTCTTATTCCCTAAGCCATTATCTCCCATTTCCTCTCCATAATCCGTGCAATTCCACTAACCCTAAATAAAATATTCTAAGCCATTCATTCCATTACCTTTCATCCCATTATTCCTTCCCACTAAACCATGCATCCACCATTCCATTTCCATCCGCACTATCCCATTTAATTTCCCACTAAACCGTGCATTTGATGCACCATAAGTCCCACCATCCACACCTTTTCCCTTCCACCAAATACCTTAAACAATCATCCATTCACATCTCTAATCCTCCTATAAATACCCATTCATTCCATTCACCAAATCATCTCATTTTCCATTGCAATACACAAACACTTCCCCTTCCATTTCTGTGCAGTTTTTCTCCTCCATTGCAGCCACTATCCAACCACTTCCCATCCCTCAAAAACACTTCATACAATCACACAACCTATCCTTAAACCTTGTGCTACAACAACGAGGAAGAGAAGAGTGCCTAAACGTTCATACAATTCAAGTTTTGAGTTGTTGGAATGTTTAGGTGTTTCTTTGATTTCAAAGTTTCATTTTAATTCTCTTTGTTTTGTACGTATAAGGAATGGAAGAGAAGAGTGCTTAAACGTTCATACAATTCAAGTTTTGAGTTGTTGGAATGTTTAGGTGTTTCTTTGATTTCAAAGTTATGAGGAACTAAACCCCCTTTAGCTAGGGGGTGATTCGAAACTATGTTTATATTTGCAATATGAATTGATTAACTTTCGTTGGAATTTCATAAGTTGTGGATTCAATTTGTTTAACCGTTTGATTGATAACTTATTTATGAATGTTTATTAAGAATGTGCGCTTAATTTTCATGCATAAATATGACGCTAGAATATAAGTGAATTTCACCTAATCGTTATGAACTTATATTCACAAGTAGTGGAGGTTGCTTATAAACAATTGCGTTAAATGAATTCTTGGCATGAGTTTCATGCTCATCATAGTAACGAATGCCTCGTCAACACTTATAGTTTTCATAATGCTTAATGATCTTTGATTGTATCTTTATTGTGCTGTTCACGTAAAGGACTTTTGGAGAATGTTGTGAATTGCGTTGCGCAAACCCATCCAATTCATTAACTTAAGGAAAACTTGACGGTTAATTTAAGCGGACCTAATTAATCCGGAGTGTTGAGTTTCATAATTTATCGAAAGACCAACTGAGAATCAATCTTGTATGCAAGTATAACATGTGTGGAGAAGAACCCCTTAGCTAGCCTTCATTCCATTCATTCCATCACAAATTCATATTTACATTCCGCTTAGTTTATTAACTTGTTTTGATATTTCAATTTTCGTCAAATCAAAACTTTTCCCCCCCCCCTTTACTTTCTTGTTCTTTAGTGCTTAGAATCTATTTAGTTTATGTTTTAAAGTATTTTGAATTAAGCCATAATCTTAAATTCGTCCAAAATTAGTTTTGAGTCTTTTGGTTTGTCTTAATGTTTTAAATTTTAGTTTTGCATTCTTTGAGTCTAGTTTAGTGTTTTATATTGTTTTTACGTTCTTAAGTCAATTTAGAAGGTTTTAGCAAGCCCTCCTAATCCCCGGTCTAGAACGATCCCTCACTTATCCATTCTACTACAATTGTCAAACGAGGGTTTAATTTGAGTGTCAAGTAAATCTCGCATCAACGCTTAAACAATGATGCAGATCAATCAAGCAGATAAGATTCGGAAAGAAAACTGCACATCTGTTGCCAGCAATGCTCATGGGGAGAAGTATAGGAAACCAAAGCCTACAAATCTGAAGCCTTTTAGGTTTAGAACTGATGTATGTGAAACCTGTTGCGACCAATTTCTTTTATAAGTATTAATAGCGTTGATGCTTAATATGATATATTTTGGGTTTTTTTTTAGGAAAGAGGGATGTTTAAGGAAGCAACTTTGGAGGAAAAAGCTCATGCACCATTGAAGGAGATCACATTAGTCATGACTCCAGGAGCAAAGTCAACAAGCAAACATCGGAATGTAATACAGGTATATTTGGGAGCTACAAGTGCTTTGTGTGTGGTTTGAATCTGAACATTTACATTGTGCATCACCGTCATATAGGCAAATTTGTTATATGTGATGATGTATTTATGCATGACTGAAATGGATGGTCTAATTTTATACAATTTATAATTTTGGGTTTATCTAATTTTCTGCTTTTTTTTTTTTGTGATTTATTTGATGAAAGTTTCAATCTTCAAGTACATTTTTCATATATGTACTCATCAAATTTCACGACTACTGATCCTCTGGTTTTTTGGGTTACAAATTAAATTTTGGGGTTGTTTAAATTTGTTTAATGTGGTCCAAGATTAATCGATTTGATGTTCTATGTTCTTTGTAGGCAAAACATTGGAGCAGTTGGTCATATTTAGAAGAGCAAACGAGGATGGAGTTCTTGGTGTTGCATGAAGTTGATGCGCATTAGATGGACATCCATCCCGTCTCCAATGGAAGAAATTTGATGTCACCATCTTCAGCTTTCCTCATGTAGGCCATTACTCTTGGCTAAGTGAAAAGTACTCGGACCTTATTGAGTAGCTCACTAATTATTCATTTCAATTAATTGCTGATTAGGATATTATGTGTAAATAGGATTGTAAATATGTTATACATATAATTTTCAATCCCACAGCAACGCGCGGGTACCATTGCTAGTAACAATCTATAATCCTAATATGACACAACAACGTGTGGTCTAATATCTAAGTGAATAGAGTGTTGGGTTTCTAGCTATACTTCCTGGGTTGGAAACTCCCCCCTATCCTTAATTATAATAGTTTTGAACCAACCACCACCGCGCCCCCCCCCTTCTTTTTTTTCCCCTTACTAATAATAATTCTTTTTTTTTAAAGGGCCCAACATGTGTATTGAAGTACAATCTTAATATCTTAAGCTTCCAGCATGCGTATAACCCTAATATCCTAATACAGTACACATAATCCTAAAATCTCTCTTCTTAGTTTGTCTCTCTGCCATTATTTCCTTGTTGCATGATATCTTGGATTATATTGGATGTGTCATTATTAAAAGTAGGGTGGATAACAGCTCAGCTGCTGTTGGTGTTTAGCTGTTGATTTCGGTCCTCCATCATCTATTGTTTTATCCATTGCTTTCGGCCCTTCTTCACTGTAAAGCTAAAGTTAGATAATAGATTAAGATTAGTGGGATTGGAGGTCATCATTATGTTGGCTTAGCTGCCATGGTTCATCATTATGTTGGCTTAGCTGCCATGGTCCTCCTTTCTTCTTCACGTTTTTCTTCTCCCATATATGTTGCATCGTGTAATGGTTTCAGATAAAAAATATACATCAAACATTCATCATGGTATCAGAGCGGGCATCATCCTAAGCCAGTTCTGTATATCGAACCTGCTGTGTTTATTTTTCAAAAACAATGGCAGATGGAAGTATCATTGCTTCTTTATCTGGAAGTGCTTCTGAAATGGATATCAATCCAAACCAAAGACTCAGTTCAGTATTATTGAATGAGTTTAATTATTTGCCATGGGCAAGGGCTGTTAGTCTTGCTCTCGGTGGAAGATCCAAACTCGGTTTCATCAATGGCAGTCAACCTGCACCAGATGCTTCTTCTCCAGAATATGGAAGGTGGCTATGTAAGGATCAACTGGTCATGTCATGGTTGTTAAATTCTATGGAAAGGAATATTGCTGAAATCTTCAGCTATTCCGAGTCGTCACTCATCCTTTGGACCACCGTGAAGGAGATGTATGGAAATCAAAACAATGCAGCTCGCATCTTTCAACTCAAGAAGGATATCTCCAACATACAGCAAGAAGGTAAAAGCTTTGTTCAACATCTTGGTTATTTGAGAAGCATATGGAATGAGTTAGATGTGTACAGACCTCACACAACTGATCTCTCTGTGCTCCTTAAAAGAACTGAAGAAGATAAAATTTTTCAATTATTGTCTAGCTTGAGCTCAGAATATGAGGATTTGAGAAGTCACATTCTCATGAACTCGGAGCTACCATCCTTCACTAGTATCTGTGCAACTATCCAACGTGAGGAAGTAAGGAGAAAAGTCATGAACAATGGTATAAAAACCAACGTGACAGAAGCTAGGGCTTACCTGACAAATGAAAAAAGATATAAAGGAAAAAACCCTCATTTAAAGTGCCTACATTGTGACAACATCGGGCATGTGAGAGACAAGTGCTGGATCCTACATCCAGAACTCAAACCTGACTTCATGAAGGATAAATCCGCACCAAAGACAAGTCGAGCACACCCTCGTGCCAACACTGCAACATCTTCATCTATCAACAATGTTGATACCTATCAATAGTTCACTGCAAATCCTGCCATCCTTTTAAATGAGTTCGCAGCGTATCTCCAACAAAAGAAGGGAAAAGAGGATGGATCGGTTGATCATGAAGATGGAAGTACTACTGCATTGATGGGCAAATTTGCAGGTTTTTTAGCTGATGCTGATTATGTACCTCAGACAGACTTGAAAGGTATCGTAACTGCTTTCCAAACTGCTCTTAAAATAAATGAGTTACATGATTTTTGGGTTGTAGATTCTGGTGCCACAGACCATATGACTAATCAAATGTCAAAGTTACATAGATTTGAGAAACTACATAATCCTTCACATGTATCTGTTGCTAATGGTGAAGGTGCTAGGATTGTAGGAAAGGGAAAAATCCACCTGATATCTGATCAAATAGAGTCTATGGCCCTATATGTCCCATCATTTCCATTTCAACTTCTCTTAGTGGGAAGAATCACAAATTCCTTAAATTGTTTGGCCATTTTTTCACCAAAAACTGTCATTTTTCAAGATTGTATAACCAAGAGGACGATTGGTGAGGGGTTTTACCTTGATGGTCTCTATTACATATCAAAAAGCTCTTCCTGTGGGTTCCATGCCAAGTCAAAGTCCATCCATACCTCCATTCAAGCTTCCACCTTGTGGCACCAACGACTAGCTCATCTATCTCAACCTATCTTATCCACCTTATTTCCTGACTTAGGCAAAGAATCAACCCACTGTGAAACTTGTCATTTGTCAAAGGCAACAAGACTACCTCTAGGGTCTTCGATGTCTAGAGTTTCTCATCTTTTTGAGCTTGTACACTCTGATATATGGGGACCAACAAATGAATCTTTTGATGGTTATAAATATTTCATAACTTTTGTTGATGATTATTCAAGAGCCACCTGGTTATATTCGTTAAAATCAAAAAGTGAGGTGATGGAAGTGTTTAAGGACTTTCACAACCTTGTCAAAAATCATTTTTCTTCTCAAATCAAAACCCTAAGGTCTGATAATGGCACAGAATACATGTCCCAAGTCATGACTCAATATTTGAGCAACAATGGCATCATACATCAAACTAGCTGTGTTGGCATACCCCAACAAAATGGTGTTGCCGAGAGAAAAAACCGAGATCTCCTTGAAAAAACTAGGGCATTGATGTTACAAATGAATGTACCAAAACGTTTTTGGTCTCAAAGCGTCATGACAGCAGCTTACCTGATCAACAGATTACCTAGTAGGGTTTTGGGGTTCAAATCCCCAATGGAGATAGTCAAGAACAGAAAGGCGGACTTGTCTCACCTTAAAGTCTTTGGATGCATCTGTTTTGTTCATGTTCAGTCATTACATTGAGACAAACTTGATCCTAGGGCAACTAAATGCATTTTCCTTGGCTACTCGTCCACACAAAAAGGGTATAAGTGTTATAATCCACAACTTAAGAGATTAATTGTTTCAAAGGATGTTCAATTTCATGAAACTAACTCTTATTACAGTAAGTCTCTGGATAGTACAAGTCAGGGGGAGATTATCTTGGACATGTTTCCACTGCCAAGGACTGAGATACTCAACAATGCGGGAGATCAAACTCACACAATGGATCTTGTGGCTCCAAATCAACCGGATTCATATGACGACAGCAACATGCCTGTAGAAGATGAAATTCTACGTAGTATTGGTCCTGAAGAACCTTCAGAAGAGTCTCTTCCTACCATACCTCGACGAAATCCAACTCGTGAAAGGCACCCACCAGCAAGACTGCAAGACTTTGTTACGTACAAGCTCAAGCACCCCTTATCCAACTACTGTTCTTATCAAAAGTTGTCACCTAATTACACTGCCTATTTGAGTAATATATCTGCGCATGAAGAGCCTCAATCATTTCAAGAAGCTAACCAATCCCAAGTGTGGCAGCAAGCAATGCAGGATGAACTGCATGCACTCGATCAACATAAAACCTGGAGCATTGTGCCACTGCCCAAAGGAAAGAAGATAGTAGGTTGCAGGTGGATATACAAGATTAAATTCAACTCGGATGGGTCTATTGAAAGACACAAGGCACGATTAGTGGCCTGTGGCTTCACTCAAACATTTGATGTGGATTACAAGGAAACCTTTGCCCCCGTTGCAAAGATGAACACATTGCGCGTACTCTTGTCTGTGGCTGTCAACAAAGGATGGCCTATGTATCAAATGGATGTAAAAAACGCCTTCTTACATGGTGAGCTTGAAGAAGACGTCTACATGAGATTACCACCGGGTCACTCTCAAAGTCATAAACAGGATGTTGTGTGTAAACTGCACAAATCAATTTATGGTCTTAAACAATCACCAAGAGCCTGGTATGCTAAGCTCAGTTCAGTCCTTATCAGTGTTGGTTTTGGAAGAAGCAATGCAGACTCCTCTTTATTTGTACGCTCAGGCACCGCTGGTACATTGGTTGTTCTTGTGTATGTTGATGACTTAATCATCACCGGAGATAACCCTGAAGAAATCAAAGAACTCAAGCACTCCCTTCAGCAATGCTTTGCAATAAAAGATCTTGGTGTTCTGAGATACTTCCTTGGCATCGAAATGGCTACATCTCACAAGGGCTTCTTCCTTAACCAGCGCAAATATGTTCTGGATCTCCTTAAGGAAGCAAACATGAGTGATGCTAAACCGGTCCCTACACCTCTTGACATTAAACTTAAGGTCAGCTTGGAGGGTCAATCTCTTCCAAACATAAGTTATTATCAGCGGTTGGTTGGTAAGTTGATATACCTAACCATCACAAGGCCCGACATTACCTATGCTGTCAGTATTGTTAGCCAATTTATGCACTCTCCCACGATGGAGCACTTTAACCTAGTCAAAAGGATACTTCGGTATCTAAAAGGTTCTGTGGGACGTGGTATAATCATGAAGAAAAATGCAAGCACTCAAATTACAGGTTATTGTGATGCAGATTGGGCTGGCAATTCCATTGATCGTAAGTCTACAACGGGATTTTGCACATTTGTGGGAGGCAACCTTGTCTCATGGAAAAGCAAAAAACAAACTGTCGTTGCAAGATCCAGTGCTGAGGCAGAATATCGGGCAATGGCATCTACTGCGTGTGAACTAATCTAGCTCAAAGGTTTACTGTGTGACTTAGGTGTTTTCAATCATCAATCCATGTCCCTTTTTCTGTGACAATCAGGCTGCAATGCACATTGCTTCCAACCCAGTTTTTCATGAGAGAACCAAGCACATTGAAGTTGATTGTCACTATGTTCGTACACAAGTTCAATCTCAGGTTATCCAAACGCATTTTGTAAGGAGCTCGGATCAACTTGCGGACCTATTCACAAAATCATTGGCCTCTCATCAGTTTCAGCTTCTTCTTGGCAAGCTTGGATCTATCAACCTTTTGGATCCAGCTTGAGGGGGAGTATTAGATGTGTCATTATTAAAAGTAGGGTGGATAACAGCTCAGCTGCTGTTGGTGTTTAGCTGTTGCTTTCGGTCCTCCATCATCTATTGTTTTATCCATTGCTTTCGGCCCTTCTTCACTGTAAAGCTAAAGTTAGATAAAAGATTAAGATTAGTGGGATTGGAGGTCATCATTATGTTGGCTTAGCTGCCATGGTTCATCATTATGTTGGCTTAGCTGCCATGGTCCTCCTTTCTTCTTCACGTTTTTCTTCTCCCATATATGTTGCATCGTGTAATGGTTTCAGATAAAAAATATACATCAAACATTCATCAGATTAGCAGTGTAATGTTCAGGTGAGAAGATCCCCCTTCCTCTACTGCTCTCCTTGCCATCTCTCCCAACTCTCTGGCTCTCTCTCTTCTTGCTTCGCTTTCTTCTCCGTCCATCAACTTCTCTACGGCCACCTTCACATTTTCCTTTTTCACAAACACCCCAATCTTCTCCTCCTCTCCCCACTTCATTGGGTTTTCAATCCCTACTCTCACTGCAATTTTCAGAATCTGTTCAACAAGTTTCTCATTGAGAAACTGATCTCCGAAAAGTGGCCATGTGATCAAGGGCAGGCCGGCGCATATCCCTTCCAATGCTGAATTCCATCCAGAGTGTGTTAATAACCCTCCAATGGCAGGGTGTGACAATATGAGTGTTTGCAGAGCCCAACCCCAAATCAACAGGCTCCTGTCTTTGGTCCTCTCCTCAAATCCGCTTTCTGTAATCCATGTCTTCAATTCCTCTGTTTGGTTGCAGCCCCTTACAACCCAAATGAAGGGCTTATTCGATGCCTCTAACCCCAACCCAAGTTCCATCAGTTGTTCAGACACAAGGTTACACAAACTTCCAAGGCAAGCATAAACTACAGAACCTGATTCACGACAATCAAGCCAATCCGAGCAGTGATGTGCATCAATTGCAGCCTTGTTACCTCTTTGTGCCTTATCCAAGTCATCTTTGTTGCACAGCGAAACGGGGCCAATGCACCAGACTTTATCCTTTCTTGCCTTTTTGTATGCTTTAACATATGCTGGTTCTAATTCCTCGAAACTATTCACGATCATCCCGTATGACGCCATCTCAGCTGCTACCATATGATCATTATATTCTTTCACGTTTTGTGTCACTGCCCCAGCTGGAAGCTGAGCTTTTGTCATCACTATTCGATCTGGCATCTCAGGCAGAACAATGTACTCCGAGTCAGAAGTTACATTTTCAAGAATATTGGATACGTTCAAATTATGAATGACCAAGAAAGACAAGCAACATGTTCCGCCGAAAGATAGCCTTGGAATGTGAAACTTGCTAGCAATGTGAATTGTCCATGGAAGACACATGTCAGAGATTATGCAATTTGGCTTGGGGGTCATCTCTTCGAACACTTGCTCCACTTGCGGTTGAAGCAGGGCAGTGGCAGCAAAGAAGGTCATTGCCAAGCCGTATGAAGGTAGCATGTCAACGTTCTCGCAACCTTCTGGCAATCCAGCTTCTTCAGACGGGAATTTCAGTTGAATTAACCGGATAAGAAGCCCGGAATCGATGGCGCGAGTAATAACTGTTTGATAACGGGCTGCGTTGCGAGGGGTAGTGAGTACGGTGATAATGATGCCTTGCTGAGCCAAAAGTCTAGCAATGTCGATCATCGGGATCATGTGGCCTTGAGCCATGAAAGGAAACAAAACAAAGTGAATCTGCTGGTTTTCTTTATGAGAATCCATGGAAATTGAACAAATAACAACGCTGGGAATTAAGGCGAGGTCGATGACTAGTAATACATAGAACATTACTGAGGTTTATCCGATCAGATTTTAATGGCTGAGACTTGATTAAAGTTTAGTGGACAACGATAGATTCTTTAGCTTTCACTGTCCTCCCATCCCTCTATCTGCAACTTATTTGGCATTTCTGGAGTTACGTGCATAACTTGCTTCTGAATTATTATTCTAGTTGAAATTGACCTTTAATGTATTTTTTTTATTTATAAATTAATCCCTTGAACCATTTCAAATCAATTAATTAACATCTTGCCATTAGATTACGGAATCAATTCCGTCAAATTCAAGGGCAAATTAATCATCTCATCATTAATTGTTACTTGTTAGCTATAACCACCAATAAAATTTCGACACATGAATACAAAATAATTCAAAAATATATAGCATAATGAGAAAACTTAAAAAACCAAACGTTTACAGAGCGGGCCATCTCGCATTGTCGTTACACATTATTTGTTTTCACATATCATAATTACATTATTGATTATAGTTGACAAGTAAGAATTGATAAAGGAAAGACTAATTTTCCTGTAAATTTGACGAAATAGTGGATGGAATCTACCGACAAGGGGTCAATTAACTTATTTCAAATAGTTCAAGGAGTTAATTTACCAAAAAAGAATTTAGGCGATCAATTTCAACTGGAATAATAATAGTTCAAGGGGTCAAATGACGGTTTACCCGCTAGAATGGGACACAGACACTTACATGAAATAGATTCTTGGTGCAGTAGCCCTTGGATATAATGGGACGATTTGTATTTTAAGATGCTCATCGGGTACCAAATAGAAGGAGGCCTCTCATGCGTGTGTGTGAGTAATACCATCGTGGCCATGTTTATAGGGTATCACCAATAGTGTAGACAAATTAATGAATAGGTAAACTCATTTTGATTGGCTTTGTGAACAAAGAATTTGATCCAACAATAGCCAAATGCCTCTCTCCATCAAAGTAATAATCAAAAGAAAGAATGACCAAGTCAATTGCTATCATGTGTAAGAAGCGGATGGATCTTGTGGATGTCTTGTTATTTGCTATCATTGACTTTGAAATATTCTAAAGCATAATATACATTACATACGCAATGACACTCAACCCTAGACTGGGTTTGGTTTCTATCAACCCTTTACGAAATGTGTGGTCATTTAAGTATTCAACAAGTCTTTTACAATTTACTTAAAAAGAATAAAATGATAAATGAAAGTTATCTATTTTCTGTCTTAATGAGAGTCGTGACCTAGGCAAGTTCCTAGGCAGGTCTGGACGGATTAGTAGGTGCCTAAGTAAGTCTACGCCCCCATTCTTAATTTTCAAATGCCTAGGGATTAATCCCAGCGATGCTAGCCGCCTAGCGCCTAGATGGGGCTTAGGCTGTGGTAGACGGGAATTTTTAGAACAATGAATGAAATATAGTGCCTTTACTAGAAAGAAAGAGACCAGTACGTAGGTCACTACAAACCAATGAAAAGGAAACAACGATGATATGAAAAATGTTGCCTTTAACTCGTCCAGTTCACTTGCCCACACATATGATTAAAGGATGGGTTTTTAAATACTAGTGAAGAAAGTTGAGGTTCTACAATAATGTCAACTGACAATATGTAGAGTAGCTTATCACTTATAAGCAAATGCAAGATCCCTTCCTTTCCCGATGCGAGCTCTTGCATGTGCTTATTAGTAATTGAGCTATTCTATATATAGCCAAATGATTTTATGATGAAACGCCAACTTTCTTCATGGTCAGAGTAGGTTGTTGCACGTGTGAAGCTCAATGGCCACGTATACTCCACGTCATCCATTTTGTGTGTTTTCACGTGTTTGACTTGAAAATTAACAACACTTGCGGGGGCATGTTGAGAGTATTGGGGAAACAAAGACCTTTGCATATGCTTATCAGTAGTTGGACTACTTCTCATATTGCCAATTGGTACTATGGTGGAACCCAACTTTCTTCTTAGTATCAGGGCAAGTTATCCCATGTATGAAGCCTAACGGCAATACGTTCTCCACGTCATCCTATTTGTGTTGTCCACATGTTTGGCCTAAAAATTCACCAAATATGATGTGGCATGTTGAGAGTTTGAATTCCACATCAGAAAAAGAGGGAACATTGCATATGCCTAAGTCATTTGGGTACTACTCATACTGCCAATAAGTTTTATGATGAAACCCCAACTTCCTTAAAAAAACTTAACCACTGTAGACACAAATAGGTTGATCAAAAACTCACTTTTTACTAATGGAACCTTAAATCGATTATTTGAAGGTTCAAATGAGTTACGACTTCATATTATTTTCTTTCTTCATTTTCAATATATCTGATAGGTCTCTATAAAAACGTGAATATATTTCGGTGGATACCTGCTGAAAAAGTTTCACCAGTTATCTTTTACGTACTCTTACGTTAGACGGAGAGTACTGAAAATATGCACAGCTTTTATGGCTGCCGCTGAAACCTTGTATTCTTTCGGGAGGCGCTTGATAAATCTTATATATCGTTTCGACAGATACCTGTTGAAACATTCTGTGAAGTGTATAGGATGTCGAGTGTGTGACGGTAATTTAGGTAAGGAAAGCAGGTGTATTAATTGTTTCTGAAGCATAAATCTGCAGAGAGAAAAAGAAAAGAAAACTAATTTTGCAACAAATGACGTGTTTACGGTACATGAGATAAGAAGCTCTTTCAGTTGAGACGGAGCAGCAAGTCTCTTATCTTCTTCTCTCCTTAGTTTGTCTGTCTGCCATTACTGCCTCGTTGCATGATATCTTGGATAAGCTGTGTAACGTTGACGTGAGACGATCCTCCTTCTACTGCTCTCTTTGCCATCTCTCCAAACTCTCTGGCTCTCTCTCTTCTCCCTTCACTTTCTTCTCCATCCATCACCTCCTCTATCGCTTTTGTTACATTTTCCCTTTTCACCAGCACGCCAATCTTCTCTTCCTCTCCCCACTTTACGGGATACTCCACCCCAACGCTCGCCGCAATTTTAAGAACCTGCACAACTAGTTTTTCATTAAGGAACTGGTCCCCAAACAGTGGCCATGTGATCAAGGGCAGCCCGGCACATATCCCTTCCAATGTCGAGTTCCATCCACAATGCGTTAAAAACCCCCCAACTGCACGGTGTGACAATATGAGTGTTTGCGGAGCCCATCCCCGAATAAAGAGGCTCCTTCCTTTCGTTCTTTCTTCGAATCCACTCTCGGAAATCCACTTCTCCAACGCTTCTGATTGACTGCATCCCCTTACAACCCAAATGAACGGTTTGTTCGATGCCTCTAAGGCCAGTCCAAGCTCTATCAATTGTTCACACACAAGATTGCATAAACTTCCAAGGCAAGCATAAACTACAGAACTTGGTTCCCAAGAATCAAGCCACTTCAAGCAGTGCTGTTCATCAATGGAGGCCTTGTTACCCCTCTGCACCTTGTCCAAGTCATCTTTGTTGCACAGTGAAGCTGGGCCAATGCACCAGACTTTTGCCGTCTTCTTGTACGCTTCAATATATGCTGGCTCCAACTCTTCGAAAGTATTCAGGATTATCCCAAATCTTTCCAATTCAGCTGCAGCAATTTTGTCAAAAAACCCGGACATACTTGGAGTCCCGCTTGGCAGCTGAGCTTTCGTGGCCTCAATTCGATCAGGCAAGTCAGGCACAACAAAGTACTCCGTTTCAGAGCTTAAATTCTCAAGAACTTTCGACGCCTGAATTTTGTTCATGCAAAGGAGACAAAATGTGCTGAATCCACAGAAAGATATCCTTGGAATGTTAAACTTGTGGGCAATTTTCACTGTCCACGGAAAACACATATCGGAGAATATGCAGCTTGGCTCGGGGGTTAGCTTTTCGAACAACTTCTCTGCTGGCTGTTGCAACAGACCCGTTGCAAAATAGAACTGCGCCGCCAATTCATACGAAGGAAGCAGGTCCATGTTCTCACACCCAGCAGGAAACCCCGCTTCTTCGCATGGAAATTCTAGTAGGGCTACCCTCATTTGGAGCCCCGACTGCAGAGCACGAGTCACAACGTCTTGAAATCGCGCAGCATTGTGCGGCGTAGTGACGATGGTGATGATGATGCCTCTTTGCGCCAAGATTCTGGCGATGTCGATCATCGGTATCATGTGGCCTTGGGCCATGAAAGGAAACATGACAAAGTGAAGCTGGGGCTCTCCGGACGCCATGGTATTGGGAAGAAAATTGGATAGACAGATTATCACATACGAAGCAGGAGGTTCTCTTGTTACTCAGGGATATAGCATCTCTCTCATGCTATCGGACAATGATGCAATTTGCTACTGCTGACGTGAGAGCTTACAAAACTTATTGGCGTCATTATCCAAACATTTCACTCTACTCAGTTATGTGGACTCTGTTAAACCACTTCACACAACTTGCTTTCTAGAGCTAGCTTATGGGACCAAATGGAGTCACGCGGGTGAATAAAACTGACAATTCAATATCAAAAGATGGAGAGGCAGGAAATATTACATATTACGACGCAAGCAGGACTCCGAACCAATCAGCACACTAATATTCAGAATTGCCTCAAAACAAGAAACCATGAAACATCTCAAACCACACCTCCTTTGTGTTCAAGTTACAAATCGTTTGCCTAAAACCTGTAAAACCAATAGTACGTGAAAACCACACGAATTTACAATCTCCGAGATGAAGTTTTGAGTGCAACCGAATAATGTTACATCTATAACACACAAAATACACAAGCGACCCGAGGTAAATGTTTGATTTACAAAGATACAACACAATTGACATGATTTACAACAATTCGAGAAATTTATGGCCCCGGTAACCCTACATATTGAAGGTCAATGCTGAATTTCACAATTCTCCTACGCTGCTTTGTTCTGCATCTTGCAATGGGAATTCCATTTCACAGTCATCAAAGATAGGGATATCTTTCCTTTCACACAGATGAAGATGATCAATTTAATTTCTCCTTTATAGCTTGCTACTTCATTCTAGACTGAAAAATCATGGCCCTTTCGTATTGAGTGACTTGAGTCCGTACGATCAACTCGAGCTGATTTCCATGAGGATGACTTTGAGAATTTTAATAATAAACCCAGAGCAGAAGAGCACGTAGCTCTCACGACTGCATCTGCTGACTTACTCATTT